CCATTAGGCCCTCTTCCTGCTTCCCTGGCCTGCAACAATGGCTTTCCCCACAAGACCAATAAGGCACAACTTGGCAAAGAATTAGAGAAATTGATACAGCCAACGGTAGAAGTAACAAGGCCTTCAGCTTACCTAATAGATGGGATGGCTCTGGTCCAAAAGCTGAAGGTAGATTATCTCACATTTGGTGAGATCGCAGACAATATTTTATCTAGAGTGTTGCGTGAGGCAGAGGGTAGCGATAGAGTGGATGTCGTATGTGACGTGCACAGAGACATTTCCATTAAATCAGCAGAAAGAGAACTCGGAGGTGAAAGTGATGCAATAACTTTTAAGAACCTTGCGACTGGCCAGAAGGTCAAGCAATTCAAGAATTTTGTTACGCAATGGTGACAACAAAACAAGTCTTATCAGATTTGTTGTGGAACACTGGCAAAAAACACCGGGTCGCAAGAGACTGGAAGACAAGGTGCTGTATGTAACATGTGGAAACCATTGCTACAAGATCAGTGCCGAGAGAGTAGAGGAAGAAGAAGAGCTAAGATCCGAACAAGAGGAGGCTGATACACGAGTTCTCCTGCATGTGCAACATGCAGCAAATGAGCAGCGATATAGGTCAATCATTGTATCCTCGGAAGACACAGATGTTAGAATCCTGTGTCTGGCGTTTTCATTTTCCATTAATGTACCAATTTATCAGCGTTGTGTTTCTCAACTGAACACTCGGTATGTCGACATTGGAAAAATAGCCCACGTCGTCAGGATGCGTGCAAAGCACTACCAGGTTTGCACGCATTTACGGGTTGTGATGCAGTGAGTGCCTTTGCAGGGATTGGGAAAGTGAAGCCCCTGGAGAGGTTACTGAGGAAAAAGGAATACCAACGCACGTCCCAACAACTTGGACAAAACTGGTTGATGCCTGAAGATCTTCTGATGCAGTTAGAGGCATTTGTCTGTGATATGTATGGCTCAAAGAACGGTATCTCAGACGTGAATCAATGCAGATATTCGGTCTTCTGTGCAAAGAAAGGTAATAATAATAATAATAATAATTATAATAATAATAAACTTTATTAAAGTGTCATATGAAGTTTGCTAATCGGAGACACCTAGCTATATGCATAATATTAAGAAATTAGATCACAATAACAAAGAAATAAATTCAGCGATAAATGTAAATGTAAATGTTTTCCCGCCCCTTACCTATGACATATATTCATATATTCATTCAGGTGAAGCGGAATCCCATCAGCTACCTCCATGCCAAGACAGCTTATACAAGCATTGCCGGCGAGCCAACTATCAAGCGGCGATATGGAAAAATTCTCTACGAAATAACGACATTCCATCCCCAGTTGGTCATGGCTGGTCTCTTGTGAATGACGGAGCTCAAGAGAGATTGGTGATAGATTGGATGAGTGGACTCCTGGCACCAACAGCTGTAATAGAGCTTATGTCATGTATGTGCAAGAAGGCCTGTAATGATGGTTCATGTGACTGCATTCGAAATGGCTTAAAGTGCTCCGACCTTTACCGCCTAATAACTTGTTCTAACCAGCCAGATGAAGAGGAGGACATCCAGGTAGACCTGGATGAAGAGCACGTTGACTTTGACTGAAGTCTCTTGAGTGTGGGTGTAACATTTTTAACATATCACCTACCCATGAGAAACACTTATCATGCTAAGAACACAGGGTACCCAGTTTAATTCTTATTTGAACATACATTTAGAATAATGCTAATTGCTATATCTTTTAGTGCCTTTTATGGTAAAAATACTCTGAATTGTATTTTTGAATCACATAAAAGAAAAAAGGGGGAAAGGTAAAAATATAGACACAAATTGAGAGTTTTTTTACCGTGACCGGAAGTGACGTCACTGCCACGTGACTTTTTATCCTTAAAAGTGACAAAATACTTTTCAGACATTATATCTTATCTATGCATGCTTTATTTTATGCAGAATCTACAGCCTTACTTGCTAAAAGCCACATTTTAGTATATTATCAATTTATGCTAATTATGCAAAATTCAAGGTCATGTGACTCCCTTAAGCTACTCTTACAACATTTCCATCATATATTTTTGAAATCTACACATGATAAGCTTTAATTTGATGTATGGTAGCCTTTGTCCCCCCGAGTGGTAATGAAAAGCCACTTGGCCCATGGACTATTAATAAAATTCTTCTTACTCGCGATCGCCCAGAGCAATTCCCCCCTTTTTTTGTATGCAGTTTACAATGGAATCAAAACACTATGAGATGAAACTGCCTTTCCAAAGCTTATCATTTTCAAATATTAGCTAATTGTGTGTCACTATTTTTATGATTCTTAAACCTCGTTTCAAAATATTTCGAAAACGCTCCCACAGAATTTGTTCAAACTTTGCCATAATTGAGGCAATTATGACAGGTACATACTCCCTTAAGCAATTTTTAAAAAAAACCGCCTGGTACAGGGAAACACAAAGATAAATAAAAAACCTAATGACGTTGTTGCATTGCCATGGCGACTCCAACTGCAATAAAACCCAGATCATAAGAAATTTTCATCTTTATATAACCCAGCTGTGGTAACCCTTTTTTTCCATATCTTAACTCATGCCGATGTAGTTAAGAGGCTGTCCACGAGAAAACCATGCAAAACCATGCAGAAGGTGCTACAGGCTAGATCACAGAATTGGCTTATATTCTGTGAGTAAGGGACTTGTCAGAAATTAGCAGGGGGGGAGGGGGGGTGGGAATTTGAAATTTGGGTTCGGAAATTAGGTGACCCACCCCTGCAATGGGAGTGAAATTTGCTAACCCTCCCCTTGAGCTTGGTCTAAAATATCATGACCCTCCCCACCTTACAGAATTGAAAGAAAAATGTTCCAGGCTCTTTAAGGTGCAGGATTCCAAGCCAACAAGACAAACAAATGAACAAGAAAAAAAAGGAAACAAAAGCAAAATAAAAGCAAAGAAAGCTAGGGCAAAAAGAATGGAAGCTAACTGCAAAGGAGCTATTGAAACCATATTACACCTCAGCAAGAATCGCGTGATATTACAGAGCCTATTGGCCCATTATTTCTTCATTATGAAGGAAAAAGTGGGTTCCTCAAAACGCAAAGGCCATATATCTTTGAGAAGGGTTGTTCACCAATGAATCACAGGACATTATCAAGCAATATCTACGCTTCAACTTAAATGAAAATCATGATGATGATGAAAGTGATTGTATCAATGCGAAGCTAATAAAATAAGATAAAATAAACAAAATAAAATGCTGATGACATAAATGATGATGATCAAGATGCTCACAGCAGCATTGATGGTGATGCTGAAGACAGGGATGAAAAGGATAGCCAAAACT